TATCCCCGGCCCACTAGCTTAAATCCTTCAAGCCTGAAACACTGAAGACGCCTCTGCAGAGGGGGAGACCCAGCCACCGGCTTCCTGCTTTACCTGTCGTGTTCAAACAGCGATGAAGAGGGGCTAACAGCGGCTGAAGCAAATAATTTGCTGCCAACCGCGGCTGTTCTCTGGACATAGTGATAACGGTGGTGGTGGCAACTCTCTGAAATTGTCGCGCTGTCAGTTTATCTTGAAAATGAAATAAATCCAGAATCTACAACAAAAATTACATGAAGTAAATACCAAGCTCTTTGCAAGGAGTGTAATAAATAACTAAAAAAAATTTACAGTATTTCTTTAAGCCAAAAAATAAAATCACTGCAATAATACTGCCTGAACAGAATTATTCACAAAATCTAATATGAAAGAGTGTAAGAGCTGAAGAGACTGTGTTTTTAATAAAGTCTTTCACCAAGTTTATAAAATAGGTGCTCATTGTAGATAACAGGAAAAACCAAGTTTTTAGAAGAAAACTAAAATCTTCCTAAATCACTATAAATGTTTCCTATTTTTTCCAGTACATTTTTTCCAGTGTATTTTTTCCAGTACATTTTCTGTATATTTCTTTCTTCTTTTTAACTGAGGTCACACTTAACATTTACTTTTGTGTTTTGGGCCGGGGATATAGCTCAGTGGCACAAGCACCTGCCTAGTTTTGTGTTTTGCTGAAATCTTTTTATATAAATTCCTCAAAAAATATACTCAAGCTGGGTACAGTGGCACACACCTACAGTCCAGCTACTCAGAGGCTAAAGCAGGAGAATCACTTGAGTCCATGAGTTCAAGGCTAACCTTGGCCAGGCATGGTTGTGCACCCCTGTAATCCCAGCACTTGAGAGGCTGAGGCAGGAGGATCACTTAGAGCTCAAGGCCAGCCTGGGTTACATAAGTGAGTCCAAGGCAGCCTAAACTACATAGCAAGACCCAGTCTCGGGGGAAAAAAAAGCTAACCTGGGCAATAAAACAAGACACCATCTCAAAAAAATAAATAAATAAAATAAAAAAGAAATAAGTCACGCATGGCTGTGCATGCCGATATTCCAGCTCCATAGCAGGCTCAGGCAGAAGAATTGCATATTCAAGGTCAACCTGTGCAACTTAGAGAGACCTTGTCTCAAAATAAAATTTTAAAAAGGGATGGAGATGCAGCTCAATGGCAGAACACTTACCTAGCATGTGCAAGCCCCTGAAGTTAACCCCCAGTATTAAAAAAGAAAAATAAATTCAAGCTGTGAAGATTTATTAAACTATTCCCCAATTTCCAAATATTCAATTTCCCCCTAAAGTTTGCTATTATAAATAACACGGTGAACAGAAACTATTTGCTTGAAGCATATAAATATATCTAGGATCTAAAGAGCCTGATGTGTTTGAACCATCCCAGAGAATAATTTGATTTTATTATCAAAAATAAGCAACCAATAGAAAAGTTCATTTCTGAATACTGGGTTAACAGTGATGCTTTTTGGAGACAAGAATTTTCTGCCTAAAAATAGACTCTGGCATTGCCAAAGATGGACTCAGAAAGCCTAAAACCTGTTGCTTTTTATCATTTAAGTACAGACACCTTAGGCCAGGCATGGAGGCGCATGCCAGTAATCCCAGGACTTGGGAAGCTGAGGCAGGAGGATCGTTGTGAGTTCAAGACCAGCTTGGGCTACAAAGTGAGCTCAAGGCCAGCCTGAACTGCATAGCGAGACCCTGTCTCAAAAAGACAAAACACACACACACACAAAGTATAGACACCTTAGTTACTAGTCTTAGAAAATATTTACTCTTCATTACAAGTAACAAATTTAGTATTTTTCAAGAAAGATCTTGAGGCCAGGCATAAAGGTACACATCTGAAATATTTCCCAGCTACTTGGGAATCTGAGGCAGAAGGTATCTTGGTTACCTTCCTCTCGTTGCTGGGACAAAATACCTGACACCCAAAATTAAGGAAGGAAAGGTTTATTTCGCTTACAGTTTGTGGAGATTTCAGTCCATACTTGGCAAGTTACAAGGCAGAGTGGCACATGGCAGAGGGCTACAGCTCATGGCGGCAGAACACAGCAAAGCAACAAGCACACACAAGGGAGGAATGGCGGCAAGCAGCCTCTTCCTCTCCCTTACATATGCAAACTATCCACCCCAGGACGGGTGTAGCTCTCACACCCATAATCAATCAAACTCTAAAATCCTGCCCCATGACCATATGAGGCTTTGGGGGGACACCCCGACACAAACCATAACAGAAGGACTGCTTGAGCTCAGGAGTTCAAGGCCAGGCTAGGCAACATAGTGAGACATTGACTCTATTTTTATTTTATTTTATTTTGGCACTGGGAATTGAACTGAGGACCTTACGCTTGCCAGGCAGGTGCTTATACCACTGAGCTATATCCCCAGCCCTGATTCAGTCATTTCAATTTTAGAAATTTTTCCTGTAACACCTGCATACGTCCCAAAGATTTATGTATTTAAATGGCAGTATAGTTTGTAGTAACAAGAAAATAGAAATAACTCAAATATTCATCAATAGCAGACCGGTTAGATAAACTTGGAAACACTAACCTGACAAAATACTAAGTACACATAAAAAAGAATGAGGAGCAGGAGGTATAAAGAGAACTAAGGTGTGTTCTGTACATGGACCAACTACCCATGATGAATGTAATCATTATGTACTGCACACATGTACTAATAAAAAAGAAAAAGGACAGATAGAAATAAAAAACAATAAAAGTAAAATCTGTGAAATGACTCTGCATGAAATGACAGACACGGAATACAAAGTGTGATCAAAATATACAGTGAATAAATTTAAAAACCTTCATTACGGTAAAAGACGTACTGCCATTAACATCCCTCAAAATATTCCTCCTCGTTTCAAACACACTTATGCCATAGCTTTAGACACTTGGTGAAGAAGTTCTAGAAGTCTTCTTTCTTAAATGTCTTTATGAGGTTGTGATCACAACATGGTAGATGCTCCTGCCAGGTGCCACTGAATAGAAAAGCATTATAAAAACATTACAGTGGGTCTTCATCCACTTCATTCAGTGGCTCTGGTATTGTGTGACTTCTGGCTCACCCCAAAGTCAATATGACTATGAAAGGTCAACATTTTCATTGATTCAGGACATTCAGACAGCCGTGACAGCACAACTAAAGACACGAGAGAGCAGTGCCGGAACCGCTTTGGAAAGCGGCAAGAGCAATGGGAAGTGTGCTGGAAAGAAGGCGAGTACTCTGGGGAGGATTAATGGCAATGTGTCTCTCACTGTAATAAATTTTTTTAAAACATTCACTGTATTTGTAGTCACACCTCATATCATTAAATGGAGCAGGCAAAATGAAAAGCAAGGTACTCAGCAGGTTATCACTTGAATAAAAATTAGAATTACATACACACATATACTCATATACCCACATATAACTCTACAGACACCATACACAGATCCTTTCTGAAAAATAAATAAAATCGGTGGCACTGACTACCTCTGAGGAAGTGCCTCTGGCAGGCAAACTTCTCAGTTTAATCTTTTTTGCTTTTTAAATTGTTATCATGGTGGTTTTCCTCCTTTCGCTAAAATCTACTTTAAAAATTAATTTAAAAGATGCACCAAGGAAAGATAGAGCCGGGTGTGGTGGTACATGCCTGTAATCCCAGCACCCGGGAAGCTGAGGCAGGAGGATCACTGCGAGTTCAAGGCCAGCCTGGGCTACAAAGTGAGCTCAAGGCCAGCCTGAACTGCATAGTGAGACCCTGCCTCAAAAAAAAAGATAGAGAATATAATGAAACTTTACAGTTTTACATGCTAGCTCTGGAGTAAGCTGGTCTAGTCACTTAGGAATGGTGAGACAGTTTTCTTTTTCTTGGAGTGCTGAAACCCAGGGCCTCACACATGCTAGGCAAGTGTTGTCTCACTGAACTCCATGCCCAAGCCTGGCAAGCCATTCCCTAAATCTAACAGTTACATCCCTCTGTTCCATAGGTCTTTATTCTCTTAGGAAAAAGGCCTCTCCAGGAGGACTGCTGCAAGTTCAAGGCCAGCCTAGGCTAGAAAGTGAGTTCAACGTCAGCCTGAACTGAATAGCGAAACCCTATTGCAAAAAGACCTCTCACTGAACAATAAACATAAATATTATATTGCTCTTACTTCAATCTTATTTATTTATTTTTTGTCCTTTTGAGACAGGGTCTCGCTATGCAGTTCAGGGTGGCCTTGAGCTCACTCTGGAGCCCAGGCTGGTCTTGAACTCCCGAAGATCCTCCTGCCTCAGCCTCCCAAGTGCTGGGATTATAGGTGTGCACCACCATGCCTAGCACTTACTTCACCACGCCTGGCACTTACTTCAATTTTAGAGGAACATTTAAAGTCCTCTTTCTCTAAATAAGCAGATAATCCTGGAATGGTCAAAAGAAATGAGATGATTTACCTGGGGGCAAATGTCCCTGTAGTAACTCTCTGGTGAAAGAGACTGTTGGGGACAAGAGGCCAAGATCTTTGCAATCAAGTCACATTTCTTCCAGTCAGCAGCTGTTGCCTCTGCATCACTCCCGCCAGCTGCCCCCGCTGTCACAATGGAGAAAGTTGTCAAACACCAAAGTAGTTCCCTATTTAAAGTCTCCTGTAATAAATGTTCCTTAAAAAAAAGTTGTATCACACACAGAGACACAAAAATGAAGACAGCAGACTCCTTAACAAAAGTCAAACAACCCAGAAGACAATGTAGTGACATCTTTAAAGTACTAAAAGAAAAAATTGTCCACCTATAATTTTGTACCCAGCAAACACTATTCAAAAAGCAAGGTAAATGTGAGGCATAGTGGCACATGCCTGTGAATGCCAGCACTCTGGAAGGCTGAGACAGGAAGATCACAAGTTTGAGCCTAACCCGGGAAACTTAGTAACTTAAGCAGGCCGTATCACACAATATAAAAAAATTTTAAAAGGCTGGGGAATGTAGTGCAGTGTGCAGGCTGTGTGTTCTATCCCCAATACTGTCAAAAAAAAAAGGAAGATGAAGTCAAGACTTTTTCAGATAAACAAAAGCTAAAAGAAGTCATTGCCAGTAGACCTAAGAAATGTCAAAAGAAGCAGGTACAGGTGGCTCATACCCATAACTCAGCACTCTGGGAAGCTGAGGCAGGAAGATTCCAAGTTTGAGCCCAGCCTGGGAAATTTAGTGAGACCATGTCTCAAAAAATACAAAACGGGTAAGCATATAGCTCAGTGAAATTCTCAGTACCACAAAGGAAAACTAAAAGAAAATTGTCAAAAAAATTTCAGGCAGAAGGAAATTTGGATCTACACAAAAAAATGAAAAGCACTAGAAAAGGCAAATATTAGAAAAAAAGAATATATATATATATATGAGTAGGTAACAACAAATATGCACATGCACAAGCAAGGGGAAAATTTCATTAAAAAATAGGGCCAAATTTTCTTACAGCAGCTCTCTAATTTGTATGCCCTGGGTACAGCCTAATCCTTATTTTATTTTCCTTTTTGCAGTGCTGGGGATCAAACCAAGGGCCTCATGCACACTAGCGAAGCACTCTACCGCTGGGCTAAACCTCCAGTTCTCAGTCTGGTTTCAAAGGCAAATGCTGGAATCTGAGTGATTCACCTCAGACTCTGACACAAAGGGACACGGAAACCAAAGTAACAGAAACACGCGTTCTCTTACCGCCTGCTCCTTCCAAAATGCCCCGGACTACTGCCTGAACACCACCAGGTCTCATCAACCTTTCAGAGAGCAGTTGCCCACATAGTCGGCGAAGCCAAGCTGGGGTCCGACACCTAAGCTGTGTCTTCGCACCTGTGCAGGACTGAGGGGGAAGAGGAACGTGAATGATGAATGTCGATGAAACAGATTTGATGTGTAAACATTATTTTTTATTAAGTACTGAGTCATACTGACAATTAACACTGTGTTCTACAGACTTCAGAAGAGCAAAATTTTGGGGCTGGGCTGTATATCAGTGACAGAGAATGTGCTTAACCCTGGGTTCAATCCAGGACTGAAAAAAGAAGCATTTTTTTTTCCTTAAAAAAAACCAACTCTTGGGCCAGGGATGTAGCTCAGTGGCACAAGCGCCTGCCTGGCAAGCGCAGGGTCCTGAGTTTGATTCCTGGTACCAAAACAAAACAAAACAAAACAAAACAAAAAAACCCACCCAACCCTTTTTACAAAACCTTCAGCACTACTTTTTTTTTTTAGCATAAGAAAGTAAGAACAGAAATATCAATGAAATATCAAGCCCCCAAATAGACAAACACATCATGAGTATAATGTACTGCAGAACACAAAGTGAATGTGATCAGTCTCTGAATGCAGTCCTTCCAATCAAATCTAGCTTCCAGAAAGATTTTTATGACCATTATTTTGCTACTGAAAGAGCAGTTCGCCACTGTGAAGGATGAGCTTGGATACTCTGATTCCTACAACACTTCAGTTTCAAGAAAGAGTTAGATTTCTTCAAGGGCTCCTTTTTCAGAGACCCGTGGAGCCATCAAAAACCAAGCAGACTTAGCATTTTTATTTTGTGCTACAATGTTAATTTGGGGGCTGCAGGTGTAGCTCGGTGGTACAGTGCTTGCCTACAATTTTAATTTTGTGCTAGAGTGCTGTTGTCAACCACTGTATTTTACTAAATTAGTGATAGAAATAGTTAATCCTTAGTAGTCTGTCTTCTTTCTTTTCTTTTTAAGGAGGATTAATAATTACCATTTATTAAAAGAGTATGAAGTAGCAGGCACTATGATAAGTACTTCCCACATGATTTTAAAAGGGACTTACAAGCAAAGCACTGTTAGTATCCCCATCTTATGGGTAAGGAAAGTGAGGAATAGAAAGGTTTACAAACCGATACACCTGCATTCTGGGGTTGAATTCTGGTGTACCTAACCCATATGTTTGCTTTTTTGTTCTTATGATGCATTTTGTTTAATCTGGCAAACTGTGGACTCATTCATATAGTAGTGGACTATGAAGCCAGAGATGCCCAAAGGAAGCTACAGGAGTATTCTAGGGATGAGGTGAAAACGACTCAACTAGGAGACATCTTTACGCCAAGCTGGTCCCTGTTCCTTCCTCACAGACAATTCCTTTCGTCTCTCACTCTTTACATATCTAGCTTCATAATGAAAACTTCGGTACTAAAAACAAGTAGACAATTCTATGTGCATCATCAAAGAAAATAATTTCAGATAAATAATCATTTTTAAAGAAAAACAGGGGCTGGGGATTTAGCTCAGCAGTACAGTGCCTGCCTGGCAAGCGCAAGGTCGTGAGTTCAATTCCCAGTACCGGAAAAAAAAAAAAAAAAGAAAAGAAAAACAGGAACTACTTAACGCCAGCAGTATACCAGTCTGTTTTTCAAACAAAAGAACTAAGAATAGAAATAATAGCTCTAATTTTAATTTCTTGACTTCAAATACTCCTTTCAAAGAGGTCATCCAAATACTTGTGCCAAACGTACATACTATCAAACAGCCAAATTCTAGTTTAAAAGACTCAGTTTTAAAACAAATAGACTAAACTTTACAGAAAACTGCTATAAGCCTTTTAAAAAAGTGATCATAATATTCTTTTTTTTTATTTTAAAGAGTAAAAGAAGGATAACATAATAATAGGGGGACTTACCAAATTACAGACAAAGTGGTTGGAAATTATCAATGGTTATTGTTTTACATATTGTTATCTACAAGATAGTTTCTCAGGAAAACAAACAGACAAATAATAGTGAGTTACAGACAAAAGAGGTAGGACATTATCAAGTTGTTGTACTATACTTTGGTATCTTCAAAGTGGCTTCTAAAGAAAATAAATAGAGCTATACATGAGTGACCTATTGAATGATCATTAACTTTTCTCAATGATTGTTGTAGGAAACACATAATGATAGAGATGCATCCATTTACGAAATAGGATAGGAACAATACAAACATTGAAGAGTTATAGATAGATTAGTAGGAAAATATCAATGGCTGCTGTAATACATGGTGGTATCTTCAAAGTGGTTTCTCAGGAAGACAGAAATATGCAAGAAGGATCTAACAAGTAGTTACAGCCTAAGGGTTGTAAAAAATCAAGTGAGCCGTCTGGGGCCAAAGCCATTTTTTGTAGCATTTTCTCTCCAGCCTCCCATCGCATTGGGACCCCACAACCAGTTAGTGTCCTCTCCCCAACTGTCAGCACAGGCAGCAGGAATCCTGCTGCAGACTTCTCCGGAGCTCCACCACAGCCTGTACTGTCAGGGGAAGAATGGCTTCCAGGGAGTCTGCGCAGGTATTGTGCAAGGTCCTCCTGGTTTACAGCTTCCGAGCGGCTCTCGTGAACCCAGTCCACAGGACCTCTGACTCCGTGGGCTTAGTCTGCATTCTCATGTTCTCTGAGTCCTTGTTCAGCTGCTGCTCCTCCGCTAACTCTGGACCTTTCTGGTTCTCAATGGCAGGAGCAAGTGTGACCCGTTGTATGGCATGTATTCCCAGGGGTTTCTCCATGTCTGAATGATTCACACATGTCCATGGGTGGGCATCTGTAGCTGGTGCATGGTGGGCCAATTGTGTCATTGTTTCTCTGTGTCATGGTAGTTCTCAATTGAGCGGCGTTGGCTGGCTTGAGGGCCTGTGTGCAACAGCGTTCCCCGCCCGTGGCTCCCCGTGTGCCGGTGGCCCTCCTTCAGGGCACCTACGAGGCAGGGAGCGAGCCGGCCAGAAGACCAGCGCTCCCAACCCGTGGCTCCCCGTGAGCAGGGGGCCCTCCTTCCGGGCACCTACGAGGCAGGGAGCGAGCTGGTCGGAAGACTGGCGCTCCCCACCCGTGGCTCCCGGTGCGCCGGTGGCCCTCCTTCTGGGCGCCTACGAGGCAGGGAGCGAGCTGGCCATAATCATAATATTCTTGGGAAACTGACTGTCATTCCATGAAAGAAAAGGTCCTTTACATTATCCTGAGGGTCAAAGTCACTTAGTTTTATAAACACCACTTCATACTCGAAAGGATGAAGTAAAGCTTAACTAGCGCATTACATGGGGAACTCAAGCTATCTAATTTTCCAGAAGACAACACACCACACACTATCAGGTAATGATTCACCCGCAAGAGCCCCCGGGCCTGAATACCTGAGGAGGTCCTCCTTGGAGGATAAGTAATTCCCGGACTGCTAATGGCTGATACACTTGATCCAAGACGTCTCTCAAGGCCCCCCTGGACAGGGTTCGTTCCTCTTCAGTTAAAACCTAAAGGAAATATGGACTTGACTTAGCAAGAAACAGAAGGCTTGTGAGGGGAGAGAAGGGAAGGCTGCTGTCCTCTCTTCATTTCCTTCCACATGGAGGAGGCTGTGCTAGGAAAACACTCCTGGCTCTCTCCATCCATCACTCACTACATTTATGGACAAGAGATATGACTTATCTTATTGGTACTTGAAATACACTCATTGCCAGTTTTAGTATGCACTGTTCCATTCGTTCCTCTTTTCTCGTGGGCCGTCCTCTGTCTCACTGCGTAGGGACATATGTATGTCTTGCCACTGGGCAGAAGGCACTGCAGTGCTTCTGGAACTAATTAGTGTGTCTAATTCTGGAATGCCGTTGGACTTTTCTCTACCTATAAGCTATCTCCTCCAACTTCATCCTTACAAGCAATAGAAGTGACATTTTGATTTTCCATCTCTCTTATTCTGTTAACTGGTCTTTTTACTCATTCTGAACTTGGCCAGCAATGAGTGGTGCTGTTTTGGGGCATCCTTGAGCACCAACAATACTGGTCCCCTTTGGTGATTACCACTCACCCTCACCCAAACAGCCAGGGTCCTGTCCCTATGTGTTTAGCACACTGCGATTCAAGTGCTACCCATGGCAGTTGCTGTTGGTGGGATCTCATCCAGCTTCATACTGTACACTCATGGAACCTCCCTCCACCAACCCCCTCCCCTCCCCTCCTACTTGGGTCTGTGTGTTTCCCTTTTCTTTTCTCTCCATTGCCTACAACTCTGGAGTACGTCTTAGCCTTGGTAACAGTAATAAGGCCTTTGATCTAGATTACCCTAGCTCAGGAAAGTACAGGCTATACACACTGCTAGAACTGTCAACTCTTATCACCTCTGCTCTGGGACACTGGGGAGCTCAGAATTTTGTGCTACCTCTTGGATAATAGCAGCTTTTGGGCAAAGGCTTCTAAACACATGCAGGAGAGAAAACAAACACAAAACGAACAAAAATAATATGAGGATAACATGGGCAGGTAAAAGAGAAGTAAAGGCATGGTGAGACCTGGCTGTATGGCTAAGAATCACCCTGCATATGAGCCACAGTGACCCTCAATACCTTTATATCTAAATTTTGTGGGCTGGGGATGGAACCCAGGCCCTCATGCCCATCCTGATGCAGTTATACTTTAACAGCTATTTCTGGCTAATTCCCAGGCTGATGCCACTGGTCCCCATGGGGGCAGTGGTGGTCTTCTCATGGGGGACATAGTGGGCCCTGCTATGTCATACTTATGAGTGTTACCCCCCAACTAGTGTGTGAATTACTTGAAGACCACTGTCTTATGCTGCTGCACTCGTGAGAGCAACTTCCACAGTTCAAATGTCAGCTGGCACTTAACTGCTTCCTGACAGAGAGACAGTGCAGAACAGACTTGTACCCCTGACAGCGAATAACAACAATACCACTGGACCAAGAGCTCTATATTCTTTCTCATTTGATCCTCCCAAGAAATTAATGAAGAGGATATGAATGACTTAACCCTAATATTAGCAGTAGTTACTATCGGACCAGCACTAATGGGAAAATGACCTAGGTACTTGATAGACAGTAACCTTCCAAGTCAGGTAGTAGACACATTTAGAAACAGAGGTTTGAAGAAATAGCCTCCGACTGCTATTCCGCAAAATGACAAGGGACAGATGAAATGGACTCTCCAGGTGTGCAAAGGACCAGCATCCAACAAATGTGGCTTCCAACCTCACCAAAGAATTAATTTACGCACTGATATGCCTTGACAGTGGACATAAGTTCTAGATCTTTCACTGGGTCCATTTTCAAAGAACTAAGAGTTGTGTTTAGAATGACCATACACAAACACATATACACAATCTCCCTCTCACTCAATCTCTCGGTGTACATTTACCTCTTCTGCAAGTGTCGGTGGTTTTCTTTTGGGTGGGCAGAATCCCAGTTGGCAGAGACCTGCTGCAATATCCCCTAAGTGGCGGCAGAGAATCAAGCTCCCCAGAGATGCATGTCGAGCAACATCTAGGAGGACGCTGCAGCTGGTGTAAAGTCTCCGGGCTGCATGGGGGGCAGCATCCAGGCTCACCACATCTTGAACGACAGCACCGAACTCAGTCCTGTGTTTCAGAGGGACTCCAACACCAGCCACGAGATAGGGACAGACACCCAAGGTGACTACAAATTGCAAAGCAGACTGGACGGTCTTCTGCTGTGTGATACTAAGTGTATCAGGGCTCAGGGCAGGAGCAACTTCTGGAGTCCTCGGGTTGGGTTTACCTGGATTGAAATCAGCTGCGAGGCGGATCATGGTTTCCTTCAAGCACAACAGCAACAACAAGGTCTGAGAAGTAAAACTCCAAGTGATGTCCACAGAGCTTTGCGGCCACTCTGCCTGATTAATGATTTCATCCCGTAGGAGTTTCAGTTTCTTCCACTGAGGATCCCTCAGAATCTTGTCCTCCAAGGCAGAGAGGTTAGATTTCAAAGTAGCCAGTAAGACATCGTGCTTTGTGATGTGTAGTGAACTTGAACCCGATCCTTTTGGGGGAAAAAAACAAGATTATGTACAAGGCAAACAAACTGTAACTTTCTCTGTGTAGAATGCCTTGCCCACTTTCAGCAAGGGCACTGAGGGTAAGGGGAGGACGAATAGGCGGAACATGGGATTTTTAAAGACATGAAACTATTTTTCTTAAACAGTTCTGTATGACACTGTAACAGTGGAAATTTAACATTCATTTACCCAAACTCCTACAACTACATACCAGCAAGAATGAACCAACTGTAACAAAGGCACCACACTAATGTAAGACATTAATAATGGAGGAAACGAGTTGGAGTGGAGAAGGAGCTATGGGAACTCTCTGTACTTCCTACTTATTTTTTCTACATACGTAAAGACACTGTAAAAAATAAAACATATTGGGTACCAAAAGTGGTGGTGCACACTTTTCCCAGCACTCAGGAAGCTGAGGCAGGAGTATCACCATGTGTTTACGGTCAGCCCTAGCTACACAGTGAGACTTTGTCTCAAGAATAAATAAATAAATAAATAAATACATGCACTAATAGTTTTTAAAAGCCTTAATGGGGCTGGGAAGCTAGCTCAACGGTACAGGGCTTCTCTATCATGTGCATGGCCCTGGGTTCAATCCCCAGCACCACAAAAATAATAACCCTTAACAAAATATTAGTGTTATGGTTTGTGTCTGTATGTCCCCCCAAATCCTTACACTGTCATGGGGCAGGCTTCTAGATTTTTAATTGATCCATACTCCAATGCTGGGATTATGGGTGTGAGTGCTCCCCCTGGCCCTGGGGTGGGTAGTTTGCATACAATGTAAGGAAGGGAAAGAGGCTGCTAGCCGCTGCCACTTTCCCCTTTTGCTCTTGTTGCTTTGCTATTCCGCCACCATGAACTGTTGCCCTCTGCCGTGTGCCACCTGGCCTTGGAGCCAGCCAAGTACAGACTGAAACCTCCACAAACTGTAAGCTAAATAAACCTTTCCTTCCTTAATTTTGGGTGTCAGGTATTTTGTCCCAGCAACGAGAGAAAAGTAACCAAGACAATTAGTAAACCAAATCTAGCAACATATAAAAAGAATAATACTTCATTACTAACTGGTGTTTATCCCAGGAAGGCACAGTTGGCTTAACGTTTAAAGCTCAATCAACATGATTTATCCTATTAACACTTTAAAGGAGAAAAGCTACGTGATCATTTCAGTGAATGCAGAAAAAGCATTTGACAAAACTCAGTACTCATTCCAGATAATAACTCACAATAAACTGAGAACAAAAGGGAATCCTCAATCTAAAGAGCATCTATGATTGGCCAGGCATGGTGTAATCCCAGCACTAAGGAGGCTGAGGCAGGAAGATGATTGCAAGTTCAAGACCAGCCTAGGCTACAAAGTGAGTTCAAGGCCAGCCTGAACTGCATAGTGAGACCCCGTCTCAAAAAGACAATAAATAAATAAATAAACAGTATCTATGAAACACTTACAGTAAATAATATATTTAATAGTGTAAAAAGGGCACCCAAAATAACCATTCTTCAACTTCATTTCAACATAGTACTGGAAGTCTTTGCCATTGCAGAAAGCTACATAGAATTAAAAGGCATGGAGAACAGTTATGTAGAAGAGAGCAAGTGTCAGTTTGAGGTGGCTCCTACAGACCAAAAGCCGGACAGGAACGACAAGTGCAGTCACTGAAACATATCAAGTTTACAAAAATCTAACACTCAAAATAACAAACAGGTAACTTCCTTGGGTTACCTTTGGAGATTGCTCACTTATTATTCTAAAAGCTGATCAACAGAGGAACATTCTCATCCCAACTGTACTAGGGTATATACAGGTACATAAGCATAGACAAGGGCTTCAAAGTTGTGTTTGTTTTGGTGATACCAGGGATTGAATCCAGGGAGCACTGAGTTATATTCCCAGTCCTTTTTCTGTTTAGTTATTTGAGACAGGGTCTTGCTATCCCACTAAAGTCCCCAAGCTGGGTTTGAACTTGCAATCCTCCTGCCTCAGCTTCTAAAATGCTGGGATTGGGTGATTTACTTGTTTCTGTTGCAGGGGGTGTGTTTTGTTTTTGTTTTTTTGAGATAGGGTCTCACTATGTATTTCAGACTGGCCTTCAATTCACAATATAGCCCAGGATGGCACTGATCCTCCTGCCCCAGCCCTTACCACTCCCAGTTGATACGTGTTCTTTATTATATTTTTAAAAATATTACCTTTAGTAAATATGCATCATTTATTTACTAAAAAGTTACCTTAAGATTATAAAATAATATATTTTATATTACCATCTTTATAAAAAGGAAAAATAGGACTAGACATAAAGTACTGTGGTAGGGTGCTTGCTTAGCATCTGAGATGCCCAATGTTTGATCTTTATCACTGCATGGTGATGGTGGCCCAGGCCTATAATCCCAGCACACAGGAGGCTGAGAGAGGAGAATTACAAGTTCAAAACCACCCTGGGCTACATAGTGAGTTCAAGGCCAGCCTAGACTACATAGCAAGACCTTGTGCACCTCACCAAAAAGAAAAAAGAAAAAAAAAGATGGAAAATTTACGTTTCCTAGAATGTTAGCAATGGTAACTTTGAGCTAATTAAAGTATTTTTCAATTTTCTTTTTCTTTTTTTTTTTAAACCTTTAGTGAATACAAAATGCTTCCATAAAAAGAAAAAGTAGTAACCTTTTTTTTAAATTTTTGAGACAGGGTCTTGCTACGTAGTTCAAGCTGGTTTCACACTCAGAACAATCCTCCTGCCTCTGCCTCCTGAGTGCTGGGATTACAGCCATATATCACCATGTCCAGCCAACATTTTTTTTATTACTGAAAATGAACCTAGGAATTGTGCATGGTAGGCAAGATTTCTACCACTGAACTACACCCCCAGCCTACTGTTCTTCAAAAATAATGAGAAGCTGAAGCCATGATATGCAGCTATAGGGGCTGGGGATTTAGCTCAGCGGCACAGCGTCTACCTGGCAAGTGCGAGGTCGAGAGTTCGATTCCAGATACCGGGGGGAAAAAAAAGTGGTCAGATATGCAGCTATAATCTTAGCTACTAAGGATGCTAAGGCAGGAGGATCACGAGTTTGAGGCTAGCCTGGGCATCCTGGTGAGGCCCTGTCTCAAAATAAAAAATATAAAAAAGGACTAAGGATATAGCTCAGTGGGAAGGTCCTGGGTTCAATCCCAATTTTGGGGGGGGGTATGAATATGAATAAATAAACATAAATCAAAAGAGTAAGAATTTTACAGTACTTTCCTAGAACTGTTCTGACTCACTAGCTTTAACTTAATTCCTTCGGTTCACGGAGAAAGGAAATGAGTGCTCGCAGAGCTTGCCGCCCCTTACCGTCACTAAGCAACCTTTACACAACTTCCTGTGACATTATGAGACCTCTGAACCCAAGAAAGTGATTTAACGAAATCATGAGATCTCTGACACAAAGAAAGTGATTTAACAAAAGCTCTTTGTGAAGTTTTTCCAAAAGCCTCTTTATGAAGTAGTCTTCTCTGCCCTCTACTGGTGATGAAAATAAAATCTATGGTCCTTGAAAATAAAGGAAGGCACAGCCTCAAAGCAGCAGTTCTCAAAGTGTGGCACAGAGACGTGGGGGGCTCCTACAACCCTTCCGGGATTCTGCAAGCCCCAAACTATTTCACAATGTGGCTCAGTGTCAGAGTGCTTGGCTGGCATGTGTAAGGCCCTTGGATCAATCCTTTGCCCTAGAAAAACAAAAAACTATTTCATAATAAACACAAAGACATTCCTTTGCCTTTCTTACTCTCTTTCATGACTCTCCAGAGTATGAAAAATTGATTGATGAGTTCGGATTCCATGTCGTAACAAACCTTTCAGAAATTAATGACTGAGTTTTAGTATGGTATAAAAAACAGACACATAAAACCTCCCTTTCCCAACTACCTATCTATGTGTCTAGGTTTCCTTTACCTACTTTAATCAAAATGATCATGCCAACTGAATGAAAGTCCAGCTGGGAGGGCCTGGAGCTGTAGCTCAGTGGTAGGGGGCCTGCCTAGCAGGTGTAAGGCCCTAGGTTTAATCCTCAGCACTGCCAAAAAAAATCCAGTTGTCCTCTAATAAACCAAACATAAAAAACTTGAATTCATGCAAAACCATGCTACTCTTTCAACCAGTTACTTTACTTTGTAGTTATTTTTCTTTAAAAATGTCATTTTGTTGCTGGCTGTGGTGGTGTACACCTGTAACCTTAGCTTCTCAGAATTACAAGCTTGATGCTAGTACCACAAAAAGTCATTCATTATGTTCACATGGAATGGGTTTACTATTTTTTAAATAAAATAAATATTTTAATGGTTTTATTAACTTAAAATCAATTTCTACTGTAGTAATGTTTAACCCACACAAAATCTCTTTGAAGACTATTATTAGACAAGATGAAGGGAATAAGGGTAGGGGATAGAGGGGTGAGGGAGGATAATAGATGGGATGAATATGATCAAAATATGTTACATGCATATATAAAAATATCATCTTGATATAAAATATTTTGTAAAATTAAAGGGCACAAATATATATATATATATATATATATATATATAAGATCTTTAAAGCCCTCACCAATTTCTAAGAGTATACAAGAGTCCTGAAACTAGAAGGTTTGAGAATTACTGTCTTAAAATTAAGGTTTTCCAAATTTTAGTCATATACCACACAGTTCCTGCCATTTATATTAAGTGTGTAAGCAGGTACCCAGCAATGCTGTTGGCACTAGTCAAATGGCTCCAGCCACAGGCTAAAGAGGCTAAAGCTTCGGGTGTGATGGTGCACACCTGTAATTCCAGCACTCAGGAGGTTGAGACAGGAGGATCGTTGTGAGTTTGAGACCAGCCTGGGTTACCAAGTGAGCTCAACGCCAGCCTGAACTGCATAGTGAGACCCTTGTCTCAAAAAGACACACACACACACACACACACACACACACACACACACACGAGGCTAAAGCTTTGATTATCACTAGTATTAGAATCAATGGGATGAGGGTTCCTTGTGGTACAAAGTTGGCTCGAGATGCTTTGGCTTTTTTTTTTTTTTTTTTTTTTTTGGATTTTTTCCGGTACTGGAATCGAACTCACAACATTGCGCTTGCCAGGCAGGCTCTGTGCCACTGAGCTAAATCCCCAGCCCCTGAGATGCTTTTGCTTTATGGCAGAATGAGGTAGAATAGTTCCAGCTATACTATTATTCTCTTTATTCATTTCATTATTTTAAGTCATTTTAAAAAATTAAAGCCGGGCATGGTGAAGCACACCTGTAATCCCAGCACTTGGGGGGCTGAGGCAGGGGGATTGCTGTGAGTTCTAGGCCAACCTCAGCTACACAGTGAGTTCAAGGTCAGCCTGAACTGCTTATAGAGACCCTGTCTCAAAAAACAAAGACAAACAAACAAAAAAATAAGCTAGTTATAGCTAATACATCATTCTAAGTACTTTAATGTATATGTGTGTATATATATATATATATTTTTTTTTTACTTTAATGTATATTAATCATCACAAAATCCTGGGAGGTGTGTTATATTATGCTATTACTATTCTCATTTCCAGATGGGTAGACAGAGGTTAAGCTCTTCTCCCTAAAGCACACAACTTGTGAAGTGGCAGAGCCCGGATTCAATCACAGCAGTCCAGCTCCAGAATTCAGCTTCTGATCTACTACATTCAGACTCAAAGTTTCTCCAGTACAACCCCAAATCATTCTATAGCACTGAGAAATGCCACCCTAAAATGTCTACCCTTTATGACAATCAAAGTGTCATGATTTGCGTGGTACTTTTTATTCATTTCAAAGTGCAGAGTGGGGTGTGGCAGCAAGTACTTACAATCCCAACTACAGTACTATGGAGTGTGAAGGAGGAGGATCACTGGAGCCAGAAGTACAAGCCAGTCTGGGCAAAATAATGAGACCCTCTCTTAGGGAAACAAATAGCCAGCACGATGGTGCACACCTATAATCCCCACTACACTGGAGGCTGAGGCAGGAATATCAAAAACTTGAGGTTAGTCTGGGCAATTCAGCGAGACCCTGATCTCAAAATAAAAAGGGATGGGGATGTAGCTTATCACTCTCTGAATTCAAATTCCAGTATCTCTCATAGACACACACACACACACACACACACACACACACACCAAATATCAACAAAGTGCAAAGCAACATGGTATGCAAGAATAAGTATGACACTACTTTGATATTTACATATTAGTAGGATTCTCAGCCCCTGCTCCATCCCCCAAGTAATTAAATTTTATGGACAGATCAGTGAACCTGTTTATTTTTGTTTTGTTTTGAGAGAAGATCTCACTATATAGTTCAGACTGGCCTCAAACTCACATAAGTCCTCCTGCCTCAGCCTCTTAAATGCTGGGATTACAGACGTGCACCACCACGCTTGGCTGAGTATGTGCCTTGTGCACACAAAGCCAAAGCCCTGGGTTCAATCCCCAGCAAGGCCACACCCCAGCGGCCAGATGCACACAGTATACAACAGACTACATATACAAAATGATATCATTTTACTACACTACTTATTCTTTTCAAATAAGAATTCTTGAATTCCAGATGTTAAATGAGTATGTGTATATAATTTCACCAGAGGGCTTTTTTTTGAGACAGAGTCTCGCTATGTAGTTCAGGCTGGCCTTGAACTCACTACATGGTCCAGGCTGTTATGGAACCCACCAAGATCCTCCTGCCTTAACTTCCTAAAGGCTGGGATTACAGGTACCAATATACCCAGCTCTACAGAGGGCTTTGTACAACTGAAGTATAAGTGTTTCGTGATCATCAATTATTTCCATCCTTTTGCTTATTTAACTTTATTCTCAGTGATACTGTAGACAGTTGCATTGTTAAACAACTACTATAACCTCTGTGTAAGTTAAAACTGTATTTTGTAGTTTGACTTTTAATTGAGTCAACTGGGCCAATATAGCTCAGTGGCATAAGTGCTTGCTTGGCAAGCCCGAGGTCAAGAGTTCGATTCCCGGTACCCCCCAAAAAAAGAAAGATTTAATGGAGTCAACATAGTACACTTATGCTATGTGTGTGTGTGTGTGTGTGTGTTACTGAGGATCGAATCCAGTGCCTTCACGCTGAACAACATCTTCAGCCCTTTTATTTATTTTTGGCTTTGAGACAGGGTCTGGCTAAATTGCTAAGTTGCCCAGGCTGGCCTCAAAAAAGAAACCTATGTTTAAATCCTAGCTGTCACTAGGGACATCACCTCGTGGCTTTTCATGTGTCCTTAATTTACTAATTCTATAAATCCCTTCTCCAAAAATATATCCTCCAGTTACAAGGAAGGCCCTATTTGTTATGTCCTTTCAAAGCTCCAGGTAACACCCAAGGCGCTATACTGAATACATCTGCCTGAGTTCGAAAAGGGGATTGGGTAGATTTCGGTTCTAGGTCCGTGGTCTACTCCCAATTCAACTTCTTGTGCTTGGACAGGTTATTTAATCTCATCAGCTCCTCGTTTACCGAAGGAGAGCGCTGGGCTTAACCAGTCCCACGGTCCCCTTACATTCTAATTGGGAAGATCATGTCAAGTCACCACAAAAGATTACGGTGACTGGAAATCCCTGAACACTTTCTCCAAACCCAGCTCAAACGTCACTGCTTCCTATTTCTGGACATCTTGGCATTTTGTGAAAATCTCAAGCGTCCCCATTAGCCCGAACGCCCTCAAGCGGTTGCGACCTGACATTACATCTCTCCGAAACTGTCCGCAGTTCTGCCTCCTAGCAGAGCGGAATGCAATGGACCCAAGGCACAGGGAAGCGGGCAAGAGATGTTGGCTAATACGGGTATTCATTGGCTTCCCTGCTCTCTTTGAGCCTCTGTCTCCTTCAGTTTGAAGTGAGGCTAGACCATGCCTAAATCCCCCGCAGCGGGGCAGAGGGTCCCGGGAGGGCCTGAGGGGCGCGAGGTGCAGGAGCCAGGGGCCCCTGGAAGACCGAAGCCCCGAGGGTCCGGGGTCCAGCCCCACGCCAAGATGCGACCTCTCACCTCCCGGGCTCAGCAGCAGCTTCAGCGCTTCCACAATCTGGTCCAGACCACACGTCTCCAGAACCTCGCTACCCACGACTTCTCCCGGGGCTGCCATGACTGGAGTGGAACATGTAGTTTTGCGACCTGCTCAGAAACCTTGGTGGACCAGCGCCGCCGCCATGTTGAGTGTGGCAGAAGGAGCGCGCGGACCTAGGGGCGGGGTGGGGGCGGGGCCAGCTCAGTCGGGAACGTCCCTGTCACGTCAGTCTTTTTCTGGTCTCATTCCCTTGAGCCGGAGAATAAACGCAATTTCACAAATTTACTGTAATTAACTGCTATAAAAAAAAAAGAAAAGATAGAAATAGTTTATCATAACTTAATATATATTTCAGTATACTGGAAGACAAAATGAGAAGACATCTTTATAGTGAAGTTTGGGTAAACAATACTCAATTGAGCCGGCCTTGGTGGCGCACGCCTGTAATCCCAGCACTCAGGAGATTTAGGCAGGAGGATCGTTGCGAGTTCGAGACCAGCCTGGGCTACAAAGTGAGCTCAAGGCCAGCCTGAACTGCATGGTGAGACCCTGTCTCAAAAAGACAAAAAATAATAATAATAAATACTCAATTGAATATTGTTGATTTCTTTATAAGAGACTTTTAAAATAAACATATACATGCTCCTATATCCATTTTGAATGTAATAGCTACAAATGCTACTACTAGTGATATAAATTTTTCCTGCTTGTTTATGCTAGGGATTAACCCAGGGCATGAGAAACGTATGCTCTAAAGCTGAGCTGTCTCACACAGTGCCAGTGAAATGGACTGTTAGTCTTTCCTGCATTTACATGGTTGTTGCACTCCTACAAAATCCACGTATTATAAAGCCATGTCCACCTCAACCAAAATTATGCTTATATGTAAATCTGAAGGAATTTGAGATTCAGATCATGGGAAATCGGTTTTTACCTACATAAATCCTGGTGGGATATTCAAAAGTTTCAGGAAAAGGCTTGCCCAAACATCTTAAAATTAGAAAAACTTGTTTGGTTGTTTTTTTTGAGACAGGGTCTCTCTATGTAGTTTATGCTGGTCTTGAACTCATTACATAGCGCAGGCTCACCTCAAATTCGAGGCAATCCTCTTGCCTTAGCCTTCTGAGTGCTGGGATCGTGGGTGTGTGCCACCATGCCACCCTAGAACATTTTTGAAGGGAAAATAAATGACCTATAGAGTTACCACAATGTTCTTTATTGTGCGTATTCTGTTCCATCCTTTGTTACTAGATAATTTTTCCTCATTTATGGGCACAGTTTCATTTTGGAAAAAATATTTAAGGTGATTTTGAGGTGTTAAAATATTTAGCAAAATGAGCCAGGTGTGGTGGCACACACCTGTAATCCCAGGACTCGGGAGGCTGAGGCAGGAGGAACTTTGTGAGTTCCAGACCAGCCTGGGCTACAAAGTGAGCTCAAGGCCAACCTGAACTTCACAGTGAGACCCTGTCTCAAAAACACACACACACAAAAATTTTAGCAAAATGAATATAATGTTATTTTTTCCAGTCCTGGGGGTTGAGCCCAGGGCCTTAGCACTGAGCCATACCCCAGTCCTTTCATTATTTCATATTTTAATACAAGGTCTTTCTAAATCACTCAGATAGGCTTGAACTTTTGATACTCCTGCCTCAGCCTCCCAGACTGCTGGGATTACAGGGGTGCACTATCCTTCCCAGTTCTATCTTCCTAGCTCGAAAATGATAACATGTATGAATTAAGAATTCTCAGACTTCATCTCTGAGCCGCACACTGAACATGGCAGCACTGAGGAAGCCAGCTCTCCTACTGTGGCCTGACCCCTTTTCTCCTCACAGTAGTGTCCGTCCTAAACTGGGAGCGCTTTACACTCACACATGTCAACACCCCAGCCCTGCACTTTCGTTTTCTATTTTTATTTTTGTTTTTTGAGACAAGGTCTCACTATGTAGTTCAGGCTGGCCGTGAACTCACTATGTAGCCCAGGCTGTCCTCAAACTCACGGGGATCCTCCTGCCTCAGCCTCCTGAGTTGCACAGGCGTGCACCACCATGCCCAACCCTGGCCCTGTACTTTCAAGTTCTGTTCACACATCCCCAGGTAGCTACCACTTACCCCCACCCCTGTGATTGTCCCTTGTGTGCCTTGCCAGAGGCAGACCAAGTGAAAAGGTTCCACAGGCTCGGGATGGCTGGGCAGGGAGTTCCAGGAGCCTGGAACCTAGAGCATGATCTGGGAGGAGGCTGAGGATTTGGGGTGGCAAGTCCGCTAGACCTGGAAGATTTCTTGCCCAGAAGGTGCCTAGGACCTCATAAGACTGGGTTTCAGGCCTGGGGCTCTACCAAGGCAGTACTGGTATGGGATTTACAAAAGATGATAGGATAGCCAGAACTGAGAGCCCTTTATCCCAAATATTACAGAGCTAGGCCATCACTGTTTTTAATCTTTTAGGCTATATAGGCTCAAATACAAATTAAAATGCATGATTTAAAAATCAATGTCATAATAATTTCATGAAAAAATTTACACCAAAGAATAGATATATCCTATGGGGAAGAGTGAGTACATTTTAATATCCACGATAGGATGTCTAAGGAGAACTCCAGGCCTGTAAATTGGCGGAGTAAATCAGCCTTGTAGTTGAAGAAAATATGATTGGGCTTTTGCCACCCTAAAGTCATTCAAATGGGCTTCTTTTGCTATTGTTGTTTTTTAAAATTTTTTTATTCATACATGCAGTACATGCATTTTAGGTCTTCCGGAGTGGGTACACATATGTAAGATAGCTGCTATTTTTAAAAATCTCCTTCCCTTTCCCTCTTCCTATTGTTCATTTTTTGAGACAGTCTTGCTTTGTAGCCTAGGCTGGCCTGGAACTTACTGTGATCCTCTTGCCTAAGCCTCCCGAGTGCCAGGAAAACAGGCATGTGCCGCTTTGCCTGGCTTCAAGTGGGCTCAGTGGCAGAGTGCTTGCCTAGCATGCGTGAAACACGGGGTTCAATCCTTACCACTAAAAAGAAATAAATCAATAATTAATTAAATGGGCTTTCAAGTATGCTGTTTCTTTAAGATTCAGTGTTGTAGCTTACGGAATTTTAGTTTCTGGGAGTTGAAGTCTAGTAGCTCCTTCCTCGGATTGCTTTGGGAAACTTTGTTAAAAACACAGAGGTACAGCTGGGGGACCCTCTGTAATATGCTATTAAAACACCCATACAACAAATCCCCAAAGAGCTAGATGGGGGAGGGGTTGCCCTCTGCAAAGTGCTGTCTGGGAATGTTTCACGCACACACACACACACACACACACACACACCAGTATTCACGGAAACTGTCCTCTACTTGTTTGAAATCAGCCAACAAGGAGCTCATTATGTTAGAATTTGATGGCAGCTGAACAAGTCATTAAAGCAGGCTGGCGTGTTTGCCTCCTGTTTGCTCAACTCAGAACTTACAGTGTATTCAATGACTGTCAACAACTGCTTTACAGGAGCAGAATTCCCAGGACGGACCCTTGCAAATTAAGTGTTCTTGTGGGGAGCACTTACAAAGCCACATGTTTGTGTTCCATTTTCCATAATTGGCCCTTTATTTATTATTTATTGTGGTGCTGGGAATTGAACTCTGAGCCTCACGCACGCTAAGCAAGCACTCAACCACTGAGCTACCCCCGACTCCACCCTATTTTTCTCCTCTGTTGCCCGTGCCTCTAGTGTTGTAGTCAAGAAATCATTGCCACATCCCGCATCCTGAAGCCTTTCCTATTTTTGGACACATTTTAACTTTCGCATGTTTTTGTTTTTGTTTTTGTTTTGGTTTTTCTCCGGTACCGGGAACTGAACTCACGACCTTGCGCTTGCCAGGCAGGTGCTTTGCCACTGAGCTAAATCCCCAGCCCCAACTTTTGCATATGTTAAAGTAAGGGAAGATCCAATGTTCCCTGCCCATTTGTTGTGGGGGTGAAAAAACCCAAAAGCATCTTTTCCCCTCATTGGTTTTGACACCAGTGTCAATATCGCTTGACCACATACATGGGATTTATTTCTGGGCTCCTTATTTCTGTACCACTTTTTATTTTGAAGTATTTTCAACCCAAAGAAAAATGGAAAGAGTAGTACATGAACAGCTGGATTTGGTCATTGTGAACATTTTGCTGCATTTATTTTCTCACTGCTTCTCAGTCTGTACCTTTTGGGAAACTGTTTAAATTAACCTCTAGATATAACATTTTCTCCCTCAGCCTTCACACCCTAAGAATAAGGGCTGTGCTGTCCTAGAGAGCCTCACCTCTGTTACTGTAACCAAAACAACCAATATCCACTCAGAAATATCATCTACCCTATGGTCCATAGCCGACCTTCCAGTTTTCTCTAAATGCTTTTTGGTTTTCATACTGAGATTCAAAGTTCATACATTGGTGGTTTTGGAAGAGCTAACTTCCCCAGAAATTCCACACACTCCTATGGGGAAAAGAATTGGAAGCAGGCACTCAAGTGTCTGTATACCAGTATTCAATGGTCAAAAGGCAGAAATAGCCCAAAATGAGTGGATAAATGAAATGAAATGTATGTATACAGTGGGATATTATTTGGCCCATAAAGGAATGACATTTTGGTACCTGCTACAATGATGTAGCTTGACAGTATACTAATAAGCCAGACATATCTAGAATAGGTGGGATGGTGTCTTGGTTACTTTTCTCTCGTTGCTGAGACAAAATACCCAACGCCCAAAATTAAGGAAGGAAAGGTTTATTTAGCTCCCAGTTGGTGGAGGTTTCAGTCTGTACTTGGCTGGCTCCAAGGCAAAGGATAGCAAAGCAACAAGAGCTAAGGAGGGAATGGCAGCTCCTGCAAGCCTTTTTCCCTCCCTTATATTGTGAGAAGGCTACCCCCACCCAGGGGGTGGCGCTCACATAGGTAACCTTCTAAACTTCTCACATTGACACAATGAACAACATCCTAGAGCAGAAGGGGCGTGTCCCTTTCACCCCAGGATGTAGAACTGCTGAGTCACTTAGCCAAACCCCTAGACTCCTCAAGTTGACACAATATATCAACCTCAACAGATGGGGATATAGCTCAGTGGTACAGCGCCTGCCTGGCAAGCACAAGGTCCTGAGTTCGACTGCCAGCACCAGAAACAAGCAAAGAAATTTAGAATAGGCAAAAATCACAGAAACAGAATAGGTATTACCAAGGACTGGGGAAAGGCAGATATAGAGAGGTACTGTCTGTCAGATACAGAAGTTTTTTGGAGTGACTAAAAACAATTCTGGAGCTGGGCATGGTGGCCATGCCTACAATCCCAGCACTCGGAAGGCTGAAGCAGGAGGATGGCTGCAAGTTTGAGAATAGCCTGGGTCACATAGTGAGTTTCAGGCCAGCATGAACTGCGTAGGGAGACCCTATCTCAAAACAAACCAAAACCAAAAATATTCTAGAAGTAGAAGTAGTAGTTACATTTTTTAGTGTACTTAGTATCATTAACTTGCACACTTAAAATTGGTAAAATGAGTACGAAGTTTCAGTTTGAGATGAAAAGGTTCTGAAGATGGATAGTGTGAATGGCTGTGTGGTGATGACGTACTTAATCACGTTGCACTATATAGTCACAAATAGCTAAAATGGTAAATTGTTTTATTTACCTATAATTCTTTAAAAAGTGATCAAAGCCAGGTGTGATGGCATATGCCTGTAATCCCAGCACTCATAAGACAGAGGTCAGCCTGAACTACATAGCCAGTCTGTCTCAAAAATAAAATACCAAAAGAAGGAAAACCACAGTCATCTGGCAGAAAAAAAGTTGGAGACCTATTCCAGGGTTTCTCAGCAGCTCTACTGACACTTTGGGTTGGATAACTCCTTGCTGTGCAGCTGTCCTGTGCACCCACTGCAGATGTTAAATAGCACCCCCAGCCTTGACTCGATGTCAGTAACACCTCCCATCTATTGCCAGAGATGGCCAAATGTCCCCCGGGGGTGGAAGGAGGCGCAAAGCTCTTCAGCAGAGACTCACGGGCCGACTAGATAAACTAGCACTGTGGGACACTTTGCTTCAGCCCAGTGGGGCAGCCCCCCGAGTCTGCCACTGAACTTACGTTTCTGGTTTCAGGCCACAAAGAGCCTTCCGGTACAGTGGCCTAGGGAGTGTGGCTGAAAGTTCGGGAGAACTCAGTTCAGCCTGAGGTTTTCATTTCTGTGCTTTGACGGAGCTCACCTCCTTCATCCTCTTTGGAATTCCGGTGGGGTCAAATCAGACAAGTTTGACAATGGTTTAACAAAACTCTTTAATAAAATTTATAAAAATGCATCACCTTTGCAAATACTTTTCTCAGCCTAAATTGTTTTCCTTCTCCCCTCCCAAAGAAAATACAAAATTATTAGCACCCACACACATTTACACTCAAAACTACAATGACATTCTCTTCACCCAACTACATTAGATACAGTTTAAACTGCAGAAAAATCAAGATAATTCCAACAACTGATTACAGACATGACTTTTTTTCTTCCTCAGTTAACAGCAAAGCAATTTCAAAGAACTCTTTCCTGCGGTAGCCAACAGTTGAAATTTGAATTTAAAAAAAAAAATTTAAATCAAGGTTCCTTTTTTTTTTTTTTTTGAGACAGGGTCTCAACCATGCAGTACAGGCTGGCACTGAACTCACTATGGAGCCAGGCTGGCCTCAAACTCATGGCAATCCTCCTGACTCAGCCTCCCCAGTGCTGGGATTACTGGTGTGTGCCACCACTCCCAGCCTTCCCCTTTCTTAACATCCATTAGGGCAGTATTTTCTTTCTTCTCCTAATAAAAAAAGTTGGACTTTCCAATATTCTATCTTCTGTACACACTTGGAATCGGGCATCTATGTCCAGATTGGCCAGCATTTTTTTCTAGATACCATCAAAAGCAGGCAGTTGGAGACATTGGGCTTTTGGGTACAGACCATCTCAACACGTCGCGATTCCGCTGTTCTTCCAGGATGTTCAAGGAAAGAGGCTGGCCCACCTCAGCCATCCTCAACACCAACTTGCTAAATAGCCCAAAGCATGACGAGCCCTTCTGCTGTCTCTGTATTTCTTTGCTGTCTTTGGCTGTAGCACTATAGGCACTATTCTAACGGTCACGAATAAATAATCATGAAAAATGAAGTGGCACCTGAAAACTCACCATATTTTCTGATCAAGGCTCCTGATCTAGAACCAAAGTACCCCGCAATGACATCCACATAACAAACACTGACTCAGAATAAGTGAATGCGTAGATGTCCACTTCACTCCTAATAATACTCAGGAGATGGAAAGGAAAACCAACAAAGGTCTTTAGAGTACACAATACCCAGTCAAGACATGGCCAGACCAAGACACATGCCTGTCACCCTGAAAGAGCCCAGTGTTTTCTGCAGCAGAACTCGCATGTGTGGCAGGGCAACCCATTTCAGGGGTAAGCACGGAGATCAGGACACAGGGCACCAGTGCAGCGATGAGCGGGTGGGGAAGGAGGCACTCGATTCTAAAAAAACCAATTTAAAAAACATATACATACACAACAACATCTTACCTTCAGCCTTCCTTTTAAACATGAAACAAATCCCCTTAAGGAAATCTGTAAGTCACTAGCAGAAACAAACTTATTTTATTTATTTGTTGGCTGGTTGGCTGGTTGGTTGGTTTTTGTTTTTTTTGAGAGAGGGTCTATGTGGTTCAGATTGACCTTGAACTCACTATGTAACCCAGGCTGGCCTTGAACTCACAGCGATCCTCCCGCTTCAGCCTCCTGAGTGCTGGGATTACAGGTGTGCGCCACCAGGCCTGGCAGCTAGCAGAAACTTCTGAGGCTGAAATTGTTCTTTGAAATATCAAAATTCCAGGAGCTTTGGAACCTTATTATTATATACAGATTATAGGAGGGGGAAAAAGATTTCATTAAGTCAAAACCTTCCTAACACACACAAAATAGAGATACGAAGGAGAAACCATAACTATCTGAACTGCATAATGGATCAGTTTTGGTCGCAGAAGTTCATCTCAAGGGGAAGGAGCTGGAAATCACCAGGAACGTCGTCGTTCTGCATTTCGCACTGCTCAAGTCTCTCAAGTCCCCTCAGTCGTCCTCGCCCCCTCCGTACATGTCCGCCAGCTTCTTGAAGCGATTGCCCCACTCGTTCAGGTAGTCATAGTCCTGGTCCTGGTCTGACTCGGAGGAGTTCAGGGAGCTCAGGCTAGCAGCTTCGGACCCACTCCCTTCGTAGTCGAACACAAGCAGAGAGTCGTAAGGGGGCGCCGTGGGGTCACTGTCAGCCGCCTTTAGGTTCTAAAGAAGGACAACCGGATGTTTCAGTGAAAGGAACAGCACAGCATTCAGCAGAGGCCAGATGTCTCCTTGCGGTGCCTCAGGTGACGTGTGAGGTGTGACCGACCGTGCGCCACACCGCGGGACACCAGGGCGCAGTTAACACCAACAAGGCACATTTGTACAGACTGGCACAGTGGGGTGGACAGGGATCTCAACTGATTGAAATCCCTCCCTTTGCCAGGTCCTGGGTTAAGTGCCCAGCCCAGCAAAAAAAGATGGACACGATTTTTAAAAATTGTTTGTACATGCACATAACATACTTTAATCATTCCCCCCAGGATGCCACTGCCCCGCCCTCCTGCGGTCTCACATTCGGGAGGGAGGGGATTTATCAGTGTGATAGTATACTAGCTGTTTTTTGTTTGTTTGTTTGTTTTTGTTTTTTTTCCGGGACCGGGAATCGAACTCACGACCTCCCGCTTGCCAGGCAGGTGCTGTGCTGCTGAGCTAAATCCCCAGCAATGATAGTGTACTTTGTCCTCTTCCCCCCTTCTATTACCTGCCCTCACCCCGACCCCCAGGATATACTGCTGAGGAAAAAAGAAAGTTACAGGATGCTTCCCCGCTAAACCAAATGATAAATTTCATGTAAGCAGGGAGAAATAGGGACCAGCAGGATAGGGCACCTGCAAAGCAGGGTAGGGGGTCTCAGGTCAGCAACCAGGATGGGCACAGAACAGCTGTACTGGTGCATATGAACTGTGCTTTAGCCCAAAAAATCTAGAAGGCCAGATGCCCAACTATCGATATTAAAAGTTAACTCCAGGGAATAGAGTTTAAAGAACTGAGGAAGGACTTCCTTGTTCTTTATATATATGTACATTTTAAAATTTATATTTTGAAGATAGTAAGCATATTACTTGATAATTAAAACAATTACAAATAAATGTGATAGCTCGTACATGAATGTGAATGGAAGGATCGAGATCCATGTGTATCAAAGAGAGGTGGAGAAAATGGTCCTTCCTGCTCTTCAAGGGTCCAGTGGTCTGAATGGACATGGGTTGCTTACTCCCAGTGCTGTGTGCTCCATACAACTCCCAGTGACAGAAACTTCCACAGAGGACAAAAACAAAACCAGCCTCTAAACCAGGTATACTGGCACACGCCCATATTCCCAGCCATCTTGGAGGCTGAGGCAGGAGGACCCCAGGTTTGAACTCAGCTTGGATAACTCACTTACAAAAACCCTGTCTGAAAAAAAAAGAGAAAGAAAAAGGGAGGTGGGGTGGGCTGGGAATGTAGCTCCGTGTGAAATCCCCAGGACTGAAAAACAAGAGAAAATAGCCCTACCTGGACTGATAGTGTAGGGGCCACTAGACTATCACACAAGTCCTGAAAGGAATTCCAATACCTGACCAAATAAATCCTGTCCCCTACTCCCTTACTGGGTGCGGTGTTCACCACTCTCAGTTCTTTCTCGGGTTATCCTGAGCTAGTCAACTTATGCCTTTTTTAAAGAAAATTTATGCCTTTTTTATTATCCCCTGCATGTAGAGACAACCCTGTGACACTTTGGCCAATAACATTTTAGGCAAATTCCCTTCTTGAATAAGAAGGCAGTACCTTAGAAGATGATAGATTTTTGTCCTCTGCTCCATACTTCCTGTTTTTTCCAAATGAAATACAGACCTAGGGCCTGGAAGTGTGGCAGCCATTTTGTGATCATGAGGCAACAAACATGAGAACAAGGGTCTGTAAACTAAGATGGGGGCACAGCCAAATGCACCAGCCTAGACTGCTTACTCCAGCCTTTTACTTACATGAGGTGAATCTACGCCTAATTTGTTTAAGCTTCTCCATTCAGAGCCAAATGTATTTCTGACATATACTATGTGGGTGCTGTCTTTCTGGCCCTCAGGTACTGTGATAGATATTTAACATCATATCCCAATCTACTGTGCAATGCAGGGGAACTCATCAATGAAATAAAAACTGAATTTACTCTGGGGTATAGCTCAGTGACACAGCGCCTGCCTGGCAAGCGCAAGGTCCTGAGTTCAATTCCTGGTACCACAATAAAAACAAACAAACAAAAAACTGAATTTACTTGGCATCTCTTTAGTTTCATTTCTAGATCCATTAAATTCCTTCAAGAATGTCTTGGTTCTGTCATGCTGACTTGGCAAATTCACAGAGATCAACTCAAAGTGCTATTAGTTCTGAAATCCAGATGGGACACAAACAAAAAGTAGGGCTCAGGGATTGGAAACACTGAACCTATGGTAGAGAGAAGAATCTAAAGGTTCTTTTTTTTTTTTCCTTTTTTTTTTTTTTTTTTTGCTCCTGAGTTTTTGAGTTATATGCTTTGGCTTTTGACTTTGCTTACTTACTTCATCAATAAAATTCCCAATTTCGTCAGGGTTGGCAGGGCGGGGACGATACTGGGGCACACTCATGAGGGTCGGTGCGACGTCATTGCGCGTCACTTCAGGCCGAGCGTCCAGGCCCCTGTGCAACTGGCTCAAGTCAAAATCCTTTAGAGAAATGATAAAAATACGAGAGTCAAAGAGTCAGTCACATCCACAGCCTTGTTTGCTTTGTGGATTACAGTATTACATTACGTGCGGACTGCCAACTGAATACTCTTCATCAGCATGTGCCCAAGTTACTAACAAATGACAGTTTTAAAATTAGGAGTCTCTCAAGTAGCACTGGAAGAAAATATAGCTCCAAAGGAGCAGCATCTGTGGGTACACACATAAACTGCTATGTCTTACTCTTCATAGACCCTGGCTTTTAGGTTATTATTCAAATGCACCAGTTCTTACCTGGGTGCAGAATATAGCTGGTCAAAATCAGCTGTGTTGCTGTTGCTGCTGAATTTGGCCAAAGGCAATGTCTAGGGCCTTAAAAAAAAATAATAGAAAAGGCCGGGGATGTAGCTCAGCGGCACAGCGCCTGCCTGGCATGTGC